TATTTACTTTCCATGACTATATAAATAATAACAAAATTATATATTACGTACATTGCTGGCTGAGGCAGGACAGGGGCAGGGGCTGACTGGAGGTAGGGTCTGGCTGGAGGCAAAGCGGCGGGTGCGGGGCTGGCTGCAGGCAGGGGATGCAGCAGGGGCTGGCTGCGGGCAGGGGGTGCGGGGCTGGCTGGAGACAGGGGCTAGCTGCGGGCAGGCCAGGGGGTGCGGGGCTGGTGCGGGCAGGGGGTGCAGCAGGGGCTGGCTGCGGGCAGGGCAGGGGCTCCCCTGCTTCTACCGCCCCGGCCCTTTAAATAGCTGCCGGAGCCCTGGGGAAGCAGCGGGGCTCCCGTGGCTATTTAAAGGACCGGGGCGGCAGAGGCAGCTGGAGCCCCGGCCCTTTAAATAGCCGCCGAAGGCCCCCGCTACTCCTGGGCCCCGGGGGGTATTTAAAGTGCCCGGGGCTCCCCTGCTTCTACCACCCCGGCCCTTTAAATAGCCGAGGGAGCCCATGGGAAGCGGCAGGGCTCCAGTGACTATTTAAAGGACCGGGGCGGCAGTGGCAGGTGGAGCCCCAGCCCTTTAAATAGCCGCCGGGGCCACCCGCTACCCCAGGGCTCTGGGGGCTATTTAAAGGGCCCAGGGCTCCCGTTGCTTCTACCGCCCCGGCCCTTTAAATAGCCGCTGGAGCCCCTCCTCTTCCTCAGGGCTCCCTCGGCTATTTAAAGGGCAGGGGCGGTAGAAGCAGGGGAGCCCCGGACTTTTTAAATAGCCCGGGCGGCAAGGGCGCGGGGCCCTCTTAGGCGCGGGGCCCGATTCAGGGGAATCGGCTGAATCGGCCTAAAGCCGGCCCTGCCTCACGGTGCTGGGCTGCGGCTCTCATTGGCACATTCCAGAGAAGAGGCATTTTCAAAGCCCAGCCTATTCACCACCACAGCATGTGCATCTCCCACCCCCGTGCATGGCCCGGCCCTCTTTCACCAGACTGCCAGTCGCTGAACTCTCTGCAGTGTATCACCACCTAGCTCCAGGCCTGGGCCCTGTACTGACTGGAGAGCTGTAAAGAGGCAGGCGCTGAGCACCATCCAGCTCTGCAGACCATCTGCCCTCACAGGAGATCAGGGCCGCCCAGAGGATTCAGGGGGCCTGGGGCAAAGCGGGAGAGCTGCGGCGCTTGTACTCACCCGGCGGCAGTCCGGGTCTTCGGTGGCATTTCGGCGGCGGGGGGGCCTTCAGTTGCTCCACGTCTTCAGCAGCACTGAAGGGCCCCCCGCTGCCGAAATGCCGCTGAAGACCCGGACCGCCGCCGGGCCAGGACTCGCAGGGCCCCTGTGGGGCCCGGGGCCAATTGCCCCACTTGCCCCCCCTTCTGGGCAGCCCTGCAGGAGATGGGTTAGCTGAAGCATGGCATGAGAGTGCCAGCAGGTGCCAGCCCAGCTTCATCCTGCCTGTGCTCTGGGCCTGGGGGATTGGAAGCACAGCCTCTGAAGGATGAATCTGGCTGGCATCTCCTGAGATGAGGGGTTGAGGTCTGCCGTGGAGGGACCCTCAGTGCACCACCTGCTCCCTGGATTTTCCAAGAGATTTCCCGTGTCTCCCTGCATGCCACGGAGCATCAGAAATCAGGGCGGGGCTGCAGGCAGAAAAGGAAGGTGGAGACCTGGGCCAGCCGTTAGTCTCTCCCATACACCAGTGTTGATCAGAGTAACCCCATGGAGTTCAGCAGGGTCACTGTGCATTGACACGGGTGTAGCTGAGATCAGCCCACTGGCACTCGATACACAATCATGCCTGCTGGCAAATCAGTGCTTCCTGGGGCTTGGGCCACGGCTGTCGGACACTCCCCCAAAGTGATGCACTGAGAGGCCCACAGACCCCTCTGCTGAGGGGATAGGATCTGTCTGCCCCACAGCAGCTGAAAAGACACAACCCTCATGCTGCTGGGACTCTGGGTACCAAGCTCAGGCTCAGCGGCCCGGCACACCCAGAACTCCCTATAAGGGCAGCATGCAGGAACGGGTTCTCCGAGCAGCTGCGCAGCAGGTGACCCTGGGAGGTGAATGGTGCAGTGGCATCGTGAGCTCCCATTTCTCCTCCCAAGATGGGGATTCAGGCCCCAATCAAGTCCTTGCTGCCCACATCACGAGACACGGGAGGGAGCCAGACCGGTGCTCTCCGCTGACCGGACTTCAAGCCCTGCTCTAGGGCAGGTTTCAAATGGAAGCAAGCTTGGTGGGTTTCTCAGCCTACTCTCTCCTTGTCCACGTGGGCCTGGGAGCTTTCCTCTCACCGCCCAGTCTGGGCAAGGCAGACTTGTTATAGGGCAGGGGTGGGGGCGCTTTTATTACCACTGCCCATGCTGTGCCAGTGTTGCTAAGGGGGTCAGGCACCCTTCTCAGGCACAACTCTCACACCACCCCTTCCTCCCCTGTGTTTTCCTCCCTTGTGTTTTCCTCCCCTTCTTGGCCTTAAGCAGCTTCCAAGGCCTGGCCAACCAACCCAGGGCAAGCAGTGAGGGCCTCGCCATGTGGCCGCAGAAAGTGAGGACTCTCATGGAGATGGTAAGGGACCACATAAGCTCTGACTGCCCTTGCACCAGCTGCCTCTGCTCACCAGTGACCAACGGCTCTTCGCAATCACCCGCATTAGATGTTTTCTGAGCCGACAGTCAAATCCTTTTGCTGTTTATCTCTGTCATTCTAGCACAGAGAGGCTCTTGGTCACAAGTCTGGGGTAGGCTGGGGTGGGCCCAGGATGACACCAGTGTGACTGAGAGCAGAACGTGGCCTGTGGCCAATCACAGGAGATAAGATTGTGGGGACTGATTCTCCTATGGGGTTAAATGGGTTTTTCTTGGCAGCTGGTGCCTAGCATGCACTGTGCATCCCCTCCACCTGCTGCAATTAGCAGCTATCCTGGGTTTGCTTCAATTATTTATCAGCTTGGAAATACTGTTGGCAATTTTCCCCTGGGCAGGATATGGACTGTCCCTTTCCATTGCAGCAGGAAAGGCCCTACCTCCTCTGGCGACACAACTGCCCTGGCCAGGATAACTCTGATTCATCGGCCTGGTTAGATGTTGCCTCTGAGAAGCCAAGACTCCCCATCCAAGGTCATAGATTCCAAGTCTCCTTATCAGGTCATCACAGTTCCCCCTGGTCCTTTCCCCCAAGAAGCGACCCGGGGTATGTCTATACTGCAATGCAAAGTGGGACTGCAGCTTGGCAGAGATACCCCCACTAGCTTTACCCACACTAGCACAGCTCAGCCTAGCAGGGCAGATGCCGTGGCACAGGCTTCGGCAACACGAATAGGTCCCTAGGGTTCCGGGAGGGCTTGTATAGCGTTTCCGGGCACCGGTGGTGTGAAATCTTGCTCCTATCTCTTTGTGCATTGGCTGAGGCATGGGCCTTTCTTTGTGGTCCCTTTGGGAGTTATTTTCCAGAGGCAATGGAAAGGTGCACGGTCTGGGGACTAGAGAAGGGATGGCAGCTCAACTTGCTGAGTTACAGTTAGCGGAGCTCTCTGTTGGCAGGTTAACGAGTGCGGAAGGATGCTATACAGCACTTTTGGACGCGAGGCAAAGAGGAATCCTACAGCCAAATGAAACTGCAAGATTATTTCAGTCTCTGACGAGCCAGGCTCAATTCTTCCATCCTGTGTCTTTGTCTGGCAGACAAACAGGGTCAGAAAAGTGACCCTGGGAAATTACACCTGTGAGTTCCACGTTAATTCTCCATCACAGGCTTCCTCACTGAGTTGTCTCACTCTGCGAGCAGGGACATGATGGTATTGCCGGCAGTTCAGCCACGTGTGATAGAAACAGAGCTCTGCCCCGCCTGCTTCAGTCACCAGCCTGGCACTGCTGATCCTGGCTTAGGGAGTTGGCTGGGAGCAGGGCTGGTGGTAGGAGAGGTGGGATCGCATGGAGCTCCCTCCTCCACAGCTGAACAGGCTTCACCAAGGGGTCTGAGAAATTGTTCTCAGTAAACCTCTCCCAGAGAAGAATGGGCTTGTCTGAGGAGACACAGGGTCAGATCCCATTTCTGGCACCGCTCCGCTCCGGCAGCTCAGAGCAGCAAGAGGGAATCCCCCAAGGACAGGCAGTGAGATAGCTGCTCCACCCCACTCCCTCCTTTCCACGCTAGTAGAGAGGTGTCTGGGGCGGGGCTGGAGAACACAGGACTTCTACAGCAGCACAGGTTAGAGCAGCCCTTCGGCAGCTTTGAGCTCTGCCAGGGATTGCATCAGTTCATCGAGGCACGTGGCTACTTGCCTCCCTCAGCCCGACCCTTTGGCTGGGTACAGGGACGTTGGCAGCTGCTCAGCAGCACTCTGTTTCCTGCATTGTCATGTTCCTTTGGGCTCCTAGCACTGCTCCTCGCTGTCTGCCTGGGGCTCCCAAAGCCACGACCCAGCGCTGGGCAAGACCGGGCCCTGGGGGGGTCCCTCCTGTTCTGCCCAGGAGGTAGATAGCGATAGCTCTGCTACTCTAATGGGGAAGAGCAAGCTGAGTTTGTAAAGTGATGCTGATCGTGCAGAGCCCTGTAGCGCTAGCTCCTTGTGGGGTAGGCTGGGTGGGCCTAGGGTGGGTCCCCCACCCACTCAACAGGCCCCAGCCACTCCAGCCTGGATCTATCCCGTTATAGAGCTTGGAGAGCCAAAGCAAAGGCAGCTGCTCTGGGCAGGGGCACAGACCGACTTGGCACACATCAGCTTCTGCACCACTCTCCAAACCCCTCTGCAGGGCAGATGAGCAAGAGGGTGTGTGGGCCATACATGCAGGGGGACCCAGCGCCATCAGCCTGCCCTGATGTGTGGGTGTCTCCTAGACATGCACTTCCTGGGGTGGGTCTGAGCCCCAGAACAATATGGCAGACAGCAGGCAGAGGCTGCTGAGTGGAGATCCTGGGGGCCAGCTCCATGCAGCGTGGTATCTGTGTGTGCAATGGCTGGATGGATCCACTGGGCACTGCCCAATGGCAAATGGAGCAGCTGGCTTGTGTGAAGTTAATAATATCGCTGCTCACATCCTCAGTGTCATCCTGGTGGCTCAGGTGCGGAGGGACTTGGGGAGACAGAAAGCCCATCCATGCTCAGTGGGTCTATCACACTCTGCAAGGGAACTGCCTTTATTGGCAAGAGAGAAGGGGCCAGATGTTGCCAGCCATGGAGACCAAAGGCCTCCACAGAACAGGTGCAGTGTGGGCAGGCTTTTCCCTGCCTGCCCTGAGAGCTCCCTCTAGTGGGAAGCTCAGACTCCATCTCCATCCCCTCCCTCTGCTGAGAGTGGCCACCGACAGAATGGGCACCTGCCCGCTGGGACCAGGCAGCGTCCCACCCAATACCGAGCGCTCAGGCCCACGGGTCCGAGCACCTCACTGGCACTCCCCAGCCCGCCACCCACTCACCGGCTCCGCACTTCTGGAGTCGGCCTGGGCTCTGGGCTTCTCGTTGGCCTCAGCTTCCCGGTTGTTGGCCGTCGGGCCAGGGCCGGTGGTCACCGTGGTTGGGCTGGTTGCCGCTGCCTCCAGCTGCTGCTGTGGGGGCTCCTCCTGGGCATTCTTCACCTCTGAGTCTGGGCCCGTCTCTGTCGTCATGGTGACTAATTATTCTGCAGCTGCATAGGTAAGGAGGAGGAGGAGAGAGAGAGGGAATTAAATGCCATCCTGGCCTTTGAAGCAATCTCCCCAGAGTCTGTGGGGAGGCACACGCCCGGCAGCGTTCCAGGCACTAATGATCGCTTGGTAACAGCCACACCAAGGGCTTCCAGACTCGATGACACTTTGCATGCTGACTGAGCCTGCTGTCCGGGCACCCCAACAGCAGCCCCGCAAGCCCCCATCCCAACGGGCCCTGCCAGGCTCAGCCTCTCCATGGAGCTGCGCCCCGCGGTTGGGCAATCACAGCCATGCCCTTGATCGGTTACCAGCCCGCGGTGCGGCCAGACGATCACACTCACCAGTGCACTCCCTCCTTCCTTTAGCAGCTGATTCTGGAGGTCAGTTCTGCAAGGAAGGACGGGGACGGGGGGAGACCCTCAGCCAGCATGCAAAGTGCAAGGGTGGGGTACATCTGACCAGTGCAGGGCCCTGCTGACTTGTTAGTCACTTGGAACAGGAAGAAGAACCTGAGCTGGAAGGGACTCTGGGACCAGCTCCTGGGCACGGGGAGAACCTGCGCTGGATTCCTGTGCCCTCCTGCAATGGGCTCTGGGTGCAGCCCCTGGGCATGGGGAGAACCTGTGCTGGGTTCCTGTGCCCTCCTGCAATGGACTCTCCCTGGCCCTGTCCACAATCAGGTTTCCATGACATTTTCCCGCGTTGCTGTAGCGCCGGTGCAGCCAGTGGCGAGCCCCTGGGGGAAGCACTAGCAGAGGCTGCTGTCAGCAGGGTCATTGCTGGGTGTCCTGTCCAGGTGCTAGAGCGGTGGTGGGAGAATGTCACAGAGCCCTTGGAGCAGACGCAGCCAGTGGGCCCTCAGGCGGCTGAGGGAGGGGCATGAGGCACAGCCTGTATGGGACCCCCACCTGGCCAGGAATAGGAGGATTTGGCCACGTGACACACAAGTTTTCCGCTCCCCTGAGCTGGAGACAGAGAAGCCACGTGGCAATTAGCTTTCAAAAGCAGGCACTGCCTGTCCCTGAGCCCCGAATTTACAGCGTCAGGCCTAATGCAGCCTGTCCATTGTCAGGCAGGCTTAGCGAGATGGCAAACGCAGCTGCACACAGTGATGGGGATTAACATCCTGGAGCATAACGCCAGCAGCAGCCACCCAAATGACCAGCTTCGCTAACAAGTCCTCCACACTAGGGCCCTCGTCTCCAATATAGCCAGCACGGCGGGGGTCACAGCTCCCGGGGCCATTAGATCCAGCTGCCCTGCTGAGAGATGCTCCCACTCGCCGTTCCTCAGATCCACCACAATACAAGGCCCCCCCAAATGGAACCACTTCCCCAGCCCACCCCAACGTATTCTTCTCTCCCTCCATCCCAAGCAACGCAGCTCAACCCAGCAGGCAGGAGATGGGCAGAAATCTGCCTGTGCCCTGCCACAGATTCACCCTCACGTTCCCTCCTACCCCCAGACATGGATCCCAAAGATCAAAGGATCCAGTGTTAATCTGCCCTGGGGCAACACGGGCCTTTTCATTTAGTGAAATCAGGGGACCAGTTGCAGGCATTTCCTGAGAACCATCCCTGCAAACGGAGCCAAACCAAGGCCAGTGGGCATTGGGCCCAAATCCTGGGTCACACAACAAGCAGGACACCCCAGGTGGCAGGCTGCCGGTGACGTCAGCATGTGGGGAGCATTTTAACTACTGGGATTGCCTAAAAATGCCCAGAACGCCTGGACCACATTTCTAAATGGGGGTGGCTGCAGCCCTTTCCCAAAGGGGGATCCAACGCCCTGGGAACTAAAAGGGGAAGTCACCAGCCTGGAAGGATCAGAGGGGAGGGTGGGAATTCAAACTCAAAGCTAATAATCCAACAGCTTCAGTAGAAAGCAACTTCAGTCCCACGGCTATTCGGGGCACTGACCTGGTATAGGGTCCGGGCAGCACCCTGGCCCAGGGCCCGGGCGGTGCCATCTTCCATAGCAAATTCATGTTCCCCCCAACATGCAGTAAAGAAAAGCCCCCAAGGCTGCAGTCAGCCCGACCCTGATGCATAACCACAGCGCACCTTGCGCTCCCTGCTGTCTGACCCCCACCGCGGGATAGTCCCCCTGAAGCACCGGGCTCCGTGAGATGACGTGCCTGGGGGCACAGGGCCAGTCTATACAAGAGGCAGCTGTGTGTGCCCGTGGTCCCTTCTACCCTGGCAACAATGTAAATCTCTCTGGGAGGAGGGAGAAGGCAGACACCCAGGAATGGGGCGCCTACGCTGACCATGCTTTGGCTTTGTGTTCAGGCCTCTAATCCCAGTGACAGGGAGCAGCAAGTCTCCCAGCCCCTTGGCTTTCGTTTCACTGGTCTCCCTAAGGCACTCCTAGCTCCAGCAGAGTGCTCTACAGGTGTCTCCCTAAGGCAGCAGCGAGAGGGCCCATCTGGGCTGGCCCCCATCCAGCCTAGGGCCAGCGCTCCTCAGTGCAGCTGAGGGAGACAGAAGCGGAGCTCTCCCATACCTCACCCAAGAGGCTGTGCAATGAAGCAATGCGCTAGCAAGCCCCACCTAAGCAATCAGCTCATGCCCTAAAGCACGAGATTTGAATAACCAAATCGTTATCTATGTTCGTGCAACTACTTACAGGGATCAGGAAACCACCCAGCCTTGCTCTGAAGTCCAGCCCCCGCCCTACTCCTTAACAAGCTCCTGCAGGGCTGACTTCCACAGGCTGGCTACACCCTGCAGGGAAACCGGCAGCTTTTTAGCCGGCTGCCCTTTAAAGGTGACCGGAAGAGGGTGGAAAAACGAGGCCTGACCCGTTTTCATGAAGAGGTTTTTGATTTGGGTTGGCTTTTAATTTTGGAAATCTCAGCTCTTGTCTTGCTCCTTTTCGCTGGAGGTCTCCTTGGAAAACCGGAGAACGAGTGGGATTCTGACTTGGCCAGAGAGTGACCTTATGAGCCAATGGGAGGGAAGGGGGGGAATTTTTAGTCAGACTGTTTAAAACTCACTTTGCTGACACCTATTTAATTCAAACGCCTGACACACAGCTGGGAAAAGGCTCTTTGGGAGAGAATCGCCAGCCCCCAGCTCCTTCATCAGAGCCTGAGGAACCTGCCACTGCTCCAGCAACAGTGAAGGAAGGCAGCACAGGGTAGTTTGATCTTTCCAGGTAAATCGGGGGGAGGGGAAAGAATCTTTAAAAGCCTCTTTCCATGGCATGAAGAAGTGAAACACAAAACCAGCGTGTGCGTTTGAAACAGAGTTGTTCCCCTTTTTCTGCAATCCTCTTATGTGCTGGGCCAATGTGCCCTTTGCGACATTATCCCACGCAGCCCCTCCCCTGCCCCGGCTGGCGAAGCGGCTCAGCAATGGGCAGTGCTAATCGCTTACATCACGCCTTCCTAAGCGTGGATTTTAGGCCCAAGACTCAGGTCCAGATTTGGTGCTGCCCCAGCTCCGTTCAGCCCATCGGGGAACTGGGAGATGCTCTAACCTACGGTGGAGGGCAACAGCCCCCAAGGGACCATCTGCCAACTGGGGATCGCAGGAGCTCAGTTTGCCCTGGCCATGCCTCTGCCACATCCCTCCTTGCCCCAGCACGCCCTGCGCTAGGAGCTGGGGGAGGGTCATGTGGGAGCTGGCTAGACCGGCCCCGCTCCGCTCCAGGCTTCCAGGTCTTCTCGCTCCTGGACACTGTGCTGCTCCGCCTCCTCCTCAGTGTGACGTGTCCCCGTGCTAGCTCCCCAGCAGGTCCACAGCGTCCCACCACAGCCAACCCTCCCTGCCCACCACCACGCCTGGGCAACCACCCAGGCTCAGAGGCACATGTTAACTGGACGTATTCGGACTGAAACCCTGCCCCCAGGCCCAAGCGTAGGCTCTGGGCTTCCACACTGAGCTTCCAAAAAAGGAGCCCAGTCTACTGCAAGCAGGAGCCTTTCTGTGCTCCGTTCCAGGGGGCTTTTCAAAGGTACAGGCCACGCCCTTCCGAGCAGCACCTAGCAGGTGTGAGGGGAGGCCAGGGGTGGGGAAGGGGTCATGACCGTGGTCAACTACATGTTGAATTCAGCAGCCCGAGAGGCCAGAAATTCTTTCTGCTGGATGCCAGGTTGCACTGAGTGAAGGCAACTGCCCCGCCCAGGCTGGGAAGCTACAAATAGGGACAGAGGAAAAGCCAGGGACCTATCTTCAAGTGCACTGCAGCCAAGGAGGGGAAAGGGCAACCATGCTGCTAAAAACATTAGGCCAGAGCTCAGCTCCTGTAGGCTGGTCGTTAAGGTTGGCAACTTTCTAATCACACAGTGACAAAACAGAACGCCCCTGCCCCGCCCCTTCTCTGAGACCCCGCCCCAGCTCCCTCCCTCCCTAACTCTTCCCCACCCTCACTCACTTTCACCGGGCTGGGGCAGGGGGTTGGGGTGCAGGAGGGGGTATAGGCTCTGGGCTTCCAGGAGCCGTGCGGAGCTAGGGCAGGCAGGGAGCCTGCCTTATCCCCGGGACCCCCGCTGCGCCGCTATCCTGGGGTTTTACTGGAAAGTGCCAAAGGCAGCCATATGTAGGGGGCACTGGGCACCATTCTGAACTCCTCATCTGTCACTCTGAAGCAATTGCCAGTGTCTCTCAGGCTGAGGATAGGAAGATTCCACGGTTACAGCAGGGACCAGGGAAGGGAAGGTTGCATTTTAACAGTGCCTGAACCGGGAAACATTCCTTCTAGATTCCAGCTCTTCTGCAGGGTCCTAAACCCTTGCTCAGCTCGGGTGCAGGAAGCAGCGTTAGACTCAAATAGAGGCTAAGTGCATGGCAAGGCAGAGCAGTATGACCTGCTGCAGACAGCGTGAGCCAAGGGGAATGGAGGGCCCTCGGAGAGGATATGGGATTTATCACTAGGGCCCATGGTGGGAGATCTCCCTTAGCTCGAGTGAGAGGCTTATGCTTTTGGAGCTGAAGGCCCAGACTGCTAGTCCGAGCTCCATGTGTGTATTATCTGCATGCAGGGGTGCATATCC